TAAAACATACATAATAGTTGAATCGGATAGCAGAAATCGGGGTTTATAACCGTTAGGGGGAGCATAGTTCTAAAGCTACACTGCGATGAGAAATATTTCCTGAGAGCAGGAACTTTATTTGCATCAATCGTGAACTTACCGGGAAGCTTATTTCGTGAGTGAAGAAACTGGCTGCACGACCTCGCCCCTTCAATGTGGCTCAGACTCCTACAAAGAAATCACATGCCGATCCTGTTTTTATGATATACTAGCAGGACACCCGGCATTGCCCGGGAAATAAAGCGCTCAGTTGGTGAGCACTTGGGTGAAAGNGCGTCGCGATGGCTTCATAGGAAACTGGGAATAAGACAAGTTACCGCCGTTGGCCATGTTTAATGTACTGCATGGTGTCACTTTCACACATTGCCCTGTTATTCCATGCAGACAAACACACGAGCAGTATTCCTAAGGGGATCAACAACGCAAGTACCAGTGGTTACAATCTAATGTACTGCATGGATTCATCTGACACATATCTCCAAACACACCTTGAGAATCAGTGGCAGAAATGGATCATACGAACCCGGATCGACCAGACAAGTACCGTGTTGCCCATCCATTGTACTACATGCCCGTCCATATTACACATGGCCTCTGTTATTCCGATGGGGGCCACAGACAATGCGGGGGCATAGCGAAACTGGCGTTATAAAGACAAGTAACCGCCTGTTGGCAGTTTAATGTACCTGCAATGGGTCCACTTCACCACATTGACCTCCTGTTATTCCATGAGGACAAAGCCACACGACGGCAGTATGTCGCCTAAGGGGATCAACAACGCACAGCCTACCAGTGCTTACAATCTAATGTTACCTGCATGGATTCATCTCGACACATATCTCGTCAAAACACCCTTGAGGACAGGAGGCGGCAGAATGGATATACGAACAGGATCGACCAGAACAGCTACCGTTGCCTTACAGTCCGCTTGTGTTGTACTACATGGGTCCATATCACACATGGCTCCTGTTATTCCATGAGGACAAGCACACAAGGCAGTATAGGATACGGGATCAACAACGCAAGTACCCGTGTTACAATCTAATGTACTGCATGGATTCGTCTCACACATATCTCCAAACACACCTTGAGGACAGAGGCAGAATGGTTCAAATGAACCAGGATCGAACAGACAAGTACCGTTGTTACAGTCCGTTGTACTACATGGGTGTATATCAGGCATGGCTCCCGTTATTCCACGAGGACAAACACACGAGGCAGTATAGGAAACGGGGTCAACAACGCAAGTACCCGTGTTACAATCTAATGTACTGCATGGATTCGTCTCACACATATCCCCAAACACACCTTGAGGACAGAGGCAGAATGGATCAAATGAACCAGCATCGACCAGACAAGTACCGTTGTTACAGTCCGTTGTACTACATTGGCCCATGTCACACATGGCTCCCGTTATTCCATGAGGACAAACACACGAGGCAGTATAGCTAATAGGATCAGCAACGCAAGTACCAGTGTTACAATCTAATGTACTGCATGGATTCATCTCACACATATCTCCAAACACACCTTGAGGACAAAGGCAGAATGGATCATACGAACCAGGATCGACCAGACAAGTACCGTTGTTACAGTCCGTTACACTACATGGGTCCATATCACACATTGCTCCTGTTATTCCATGAGGACAAGCACACGAGGCAGTATAGCTAAGAGGATCAACAACGCAAGTACCAGTGTTACAATCTAATGTACTGCATGGATTCATCTCACACATATCTCCAAACACACCTTGAGGACAGAGGCAGAGTGGATCATACGAACCAGGATCGACCAGACAAGTACCATTGTTACAGTCCGTTGTACTACATGGGTCCATGTCAAGCAACGACGCACGCAGTAATAATCGCATTAAAAGACTGGTGTACTTTGACCGACGTGCTGGTGGGGAGGTTGGATCGCAAACCTACAACACACAAGATAGACGTATATATTTCGGAGAATTAGATAATAGCATTGCCAGTAATTAGATATTAGTATAAGAATGCAGAGTGTAGTGTAATTTTAGTTCGATAGAATATACTAACAAATTAAAAAATACTGGGAATGAAGTCATCTATGCAAATATCCACCATCCACCCCCCCACCCATAAACGAGTACCTCCGTCCTTTCGTTCGTTTGTTCGTTCGCCTGTCCGTCCGTTTGTCCGTCTATTCGTCCATCCATCTATCCCTCTATCCACCTATCTATCTGTTTTCCTTTCTATCATTAACATCTATTCTAATCTATCTATACTATCTATCTAATCTATCTATCTACGTCTACTTCCTATCTATCTATCTATCTAATCTATCTATCTAATCTATCTATGCTATCTATCTATCTATCTATCTATTACTACCTATCATATCGTATGCTAACTACATATCTATGTCTATCTTATTCTCTATCTATCATCTATCTATTCTATCTATTATCTTTATCTACCTATCTATCCTTATCTATCTATCTCTATCTATCTATCTCTATCATATCTATCTATCTATCTATGCTATCTTAATCTTGTTCTTCTATCTATCTGATCTATCTATCTATCTATCTATATCTATCTATCCAGTCTATCCATCTTATCTATCTTATCTTATCTATTCTATCTATCTAATCTCAATCTATTCTATCTATCTAGTCTATCTTCAATCAATCTACTTATCTATCTATCTATC